GGATGACTACTGTAGCCAGCATTGCCTGTTGGACTATAGGACATCCTTTTATATTTTCTTTGTGCTCTCCAGTTTCTCAAAAAAAAAGAGGAGGTCTTTATGATGTCAACAATTCCCTGGGATGGTTTGCAGACTATTTTAACTCTGTGGCAGATTCCTACCTTTTTATTTCTCTTCTTAACAAAACATTTTCATTATCTCCTGCTCTCTGGCAAGGCAATGTTTGGTTCATTAACTACCTGGTGAAATCTGTCTGTGGTTGGAAGCTGCAGTATCAACCTCCATCTAGCAGTTGTTAACCCTTTAGGGTGTGTTACTAAGCAAGCTATTTTCTACTTCATTACATTATTATTATTTTTTTAGCTGCTTTGTTAAGTGGAAGGCAAAACCCTGTGAAAAAATTATCTAGTCTGGCAATGAGCAATCTCAGAGCTTTCCTAATTAAAACAACCCTCTTCAGACTTTTCAAAAAAGAAGACACAGATGAACATGACTGCATGATGAACATGAATGTAAGTGTTTTGCTCACCCTGTAAAGGGTTTATATGCTCTAGCACTGAGCAGTATAATAGCCTTCCAAGGCATAAAAGCCTCTTCAGACTCTCCAAAGGGGAAGAGACAGACGTACATGACGGTATTTTTTCAAGCAACCAGAAATGAGGATGATGACATCTAATATGTTGTAACATTCATTAAACAAGGGCCATTACACTCAAAAGGAGTTGTTTCCACTCACCCTGTGAAAGGGCTATATGTTTTGACTATCTGAAGTCTCATAGCTGTGCCATGCAAGACCACCTCTTCAGACTCTATGAACAGGAAGATGCAGATGAGCATGATTGTATGTATCCTGCTTCTGTAAGCAGCCAGGGATAGAGATGATGATACCTAACAGGATGTCACATTCAATAACCACATTGTCAATACACTCTAAAGGAGTGGTTTCCACTTTCCCTTTGAAAGGGTTATCTGCTTTGGCAATGAGAAGTGGCCTAGGCTTCCCAGACGAAACAGCCCTCTTAAGAATTTCCACAGAGGATGATGCAGTTGGACATGACTGCATGAATACTGCTTTGTTCAAGCAACCAAGGATAAAGATGAGGACACCTAACAAGTTATCACATGAGGCTAATACACTCTAAAGGAGTGTCTCCACTCACACTGAGAAGGGGTTATCTATTCTATTAATGAGCATGCCTGTATGAGCTCTGCTGGTTTGAGCAGACAGAGATAAAGAAGTTGACACCTAACACGTTATCACATTTATTGACCATGCGGTCAATACATTCTAAAGGAGTTGTTTCCAATCACCTTGTGAATGGATCAAATATTCTGCCAATCAGCTGTCTCAGAACTTTCTCAGGCAAATCAACCCTCGCCAGATTTGTCCAAAGAACTCATGGATGAACATGACTTGAAGCAAAGCTGTGGAAGTATTTCAAGTGCCTCCAGAGGACAGCTTGACAATTCCCTTATGATGTGTGAATCAAGTGCTCGTTGTACAAGATTGAAGCATGTTGTCACAGCAGGATGTCAAGGGTTTTGAATAACCCCTTATGGGATTGGCCATTTACGTGACTTTACCATTAGAAGATGCTGCGGCCTTCAAGGACGTACTCAATCACTGCATTGTTCTTGATCTTAGAAGGTAAAGCCTAAATTATTAGTGGTCAATTTGGCTTCCTGCCTCAAGATGAACATCTGTTGAGTTAAAGGAGACTGAAGTTCAAGAGTCAGTTTCCATGCTCACTCCAGAGAGGGTAGATTCTGCATTTCTGGCTGGGAGTCAAAGAAAAAGCCAGTACATAATCCAAGAAGTCAGTGAAGAGCTTCATGTCAGGATGCTTTCTGGTATTTTGGGGATTGTGCCATCCTCACATATCTTATGGGCACTTGGTGGCTCCTCTTTGGACATAGGTACAGCTTTAGTAACGGACACATGGTCACTCAAGGCATTCATTTCAGAACATATTTTGGAGTTCTATACAAACAAATATACAAGTGTAACGCTCAACTGATAAGTATAAGAAAATTGTATATAATCTGCAATCTTAAAAGTCTTTCCAAAATCAATGCAACTGTTCTAGTATATAAGTGTCCCATATTTCATCCATGAATTCACACTTCTTTCAGTGATGTAGACAAACCGACTTGTGCTTGGTTCCCCTCTTCTATATTAGTGTGACAACCATGAGTGCACCTTCACCAGTTGTGCTCTCACATGGTAAATATGCCCAAATTGTTAACTGAGGTCATATGTAACTTGTGTCCCCTATGTGGACTATGGCTGCATGGGATTGGTATCCTGCAGTTAGAGATCCCTTCACTTTCTTAAAGATCTTCCTTGTAATGATGGGCTCACATTTTTAGGTCCCAGCATCCACTGCTCACCTCAGCGACCTCTGAGCCCAATTATCTGCAGGTGAGAACTAGCTACAGATTAATTAGATCTTGCAGACACAAGCAGGCAGAGCACTCAAAGACACAGAAAGCTCACTGAAGCAGCTGGAGAACGTATTTTATTACATTGGCACTCCCACATTTGTAATGTACCACAAAGTGGGTAATGAGGCGAGCCGTGGACGCTGGGACCTAAACATGTGAGCCCATCATTACAAGGAAGATCTTTAAGAAAGTGAGGCGATCTCTAACTCTGCAGGATAACAATCCCATCCAGCCACAGTCCACATAAGGGACAAAAGTTTATATATGACCTCACTTAACGGTTTGGTCATATTTACCAGGTGAGAGCACAACTGGTGTAGGTGCACGCATGGTTGTCACAGTAATATAGCAGAGGTGAACCAAGCACAAGTTGGTTTGTCTACATCACTGAAAGGAGTGTGAATTCATGGATGAAATATGGACACATATACTGAAACAGTTGCATTGATTTTGGAAAGACTTTTAAGATTGCAGATAATATACAATTTTCATATACTTATCAGTGGAGCAAGACACTAATATATTTGTTTGTATAATGATGACACATTTGTATGGGTATGTGTGATGTGTAGGAGATCTACTGTTTTAATATAATTTTTCACATAAGTTTGACACTATTTTTAGGTACCATAGTAGCTCGCAAGACTTTATTTTATATTTTGGAGTTCTTTCATCCTTCATGTCTCAGATTGGGTTGCATTAAGCGCCTCGCTCCAGTCGGTCTGGTAGTCTCAGCTGAGCACTCTCCCCCTTTAAAGTTGGGTTTCTAGACAGGTAACAGTCAGAGGGCCTAGGTCAGAAGATATGGATTACATTCTGTATGAAAGCGAGTCTAAACTTGTGGTTGGAGAAGTGGAATCTTCTGCCAAATCATTCCTATCTGACAATCTAGTGACTAGTGCAGTAAGACACCAGCAAAATAGTTGGAAAGCCCTAATTCAGGAACAATGGGCTTAGGACCAATGGCCTTTTTCAAGAGTCCAAGATCGTGTCCAACATCCATGAGTTAAGAATGGAATTCCAGGACTTCAGCCAGCTCATCCAGGGTGAACCTGTCCTTCACCTGTCCTGGTGAAGTTAGACTGCACAATAACTGTGGCCTACATCCAGAAACAAGGGGTCTCCCTCCTGAAGGAGGTTTCTCTGATTCTAGAGTTGGCCCAAGTCATTATCCTGCAGCTGGGGCCTATGTACCTGGTTGGAAGAATCTTTAGACAAACAATTTGTCCAGGACAATCCTGGACGACAATGAATGGTCCAGACTGATGAAAGTCTTTCCAGAACAAAGGGGCTTGGTAATCTCTTTCAGAGATAGAACATTTCACATCTCCAGTCAACACCAAGCTGCTGAAGTTCTGTTCCAGGGTCCATCATGCATAAGCCATAACGGTGGAGGTGCCAATCGCAGAGTGGATCTCCAGAACAGCTTATGCATGTCTGCCTCTCCCTTTGATTCTCTGCTTCCTGCTGAGGCAGTGGCAGGGGAAGGTGATAGTTCTGGTAGTTATCCCAGATTGGTTGAAGAGGTCTTGGTACCTTCTGCTCCTCCTAATGAGTGTCAAGTATCCACTCCCTCTCTTGGTAAGATTGGATATTCTCCAAAGTCCCATTCCTCCAATATCTGACAGGTTCAAGCTCATGGCTTGGGTTTTGAGAGGCAGAGGCTAATAGATCTCAGGTACTCTGTAAAGGTTGTGAATGCTCTTATGAAAGCAAAGAAGAACAGCAATAACAGTGCCTACTGTAGAATATGACATAAATTCACAGGATTGCTGCTGATCAAGGTTTTACACTGGGGTCTTCACAAGTTTGTCACATACTGAAGTTTCTGCAGGTGGGGCTTGATTTAGGTTTAGGTGTACGTACACTATGGGCCCACATTTCAGCTATCTCTGCCTTCACAGACTTACAGTGGGCATCCAACACTGACTTACACTGTTCTTCAAGCTGCAACTTGGTTGAAACCTACCTAAGGGATTGTTGTTTGTGAAGTGGGATCTCCATTGGTGTTGGACTTGTTTGCATCAGATGCCTTTAAACAAAGTGCCCCCCCTGTGGTACCTCTCACTGAAAACTGCTGTCCTGGTGGTAATTTCATCAACCAGAAGAGTGTCCGTATTAGTGGCCCTGGGGTTTAACCACAAGCCTACAGGGCACTTATACCCCCTTCCTGCCCAGGCCAATTTCCAGCTTTCAGGGCTGTTGCACTTTGAATGACAATGTCACGCAACACTGTACCCATATGAAATTTTTATCATTTTTTGTGTGACAGATAGAGCTTTATTTTGGTGGTATTTAATCACCTCTGGGTTTTTTATTATTTCTTAAACAAACCAAAAACCACTGAAATTTTTTTTCTTAGTTTTTGTTATAAAATTTTGTAAATAAGTGATTTTCTCCTTCACTGATGTGCGCTAATGAGGCTGCACTGATGGGCACTGATAGGTGGCACTGATGAGGAGTCACTGGTAGTTAGCACTGATGGGCATTGACAGGCATCACTGATGGGCACTGATAGGCAGCACTGACTGGCACTGTTAGGTGGCACTGACTTGCACTGTTAGGCGGCACTGATAAGCAGCACTGACGGGCACTGATAGGTGGCACTGATTCACACTGATAGGCAGCACTGACTGTCACTGATAGCGGCACTGGCTGGCACTGATAGGTGGCACTGATTGGCAGCACTGATAGGTAGCACTGACTGGCATTGATAGGTGGCACTGACTGGCACTGAAAGGCAGTTTAGATGCACACTTATATGTGGCATTGAAGTTGCACTGATGGGCACTGAAATGTGGCACTGATGTGGCACTGATGGGCACTGGCACGTGGCATGGATGAGCACTGAGAGCTGGCACTGATGGACACTGACAGGTGGCGCTGCTGGGGCTACACAGATCATCAGTGCTCTGATGATCTGTGTACATGTCCCCTCCGAGGAATGCAATTACCGGCTCTCCTCTCCTCACGAGCTGTCAGTGTGACAGCTCGTGCGGAGAGAAATGTGGATAACCGGCATTTCCCTGTTTACATGTGATCAGCTGTGATTGGACACAGCTGATCACATGACCGAGCCGACATCTTTAGCACTTTCCATTGATCGGGGATCCGCTGTGTCCGAGGGACACAGTGCACCACCGATCGCCACGCTGCATGCTCCCGGAGCAGCACATACGCGGTTAGAATAGTAGGACGTCATATGACATCCTCCCAGAACGAGAGAACCGCCTTGCCTCCGTCATTTTACTATATGGCGGGCTGGAGGCGGTTAAAGAACATTTTCTTATGTTCATCCCAAATAGGGTGGTATTCATGCAGATGCTCAAGATCATGCCTAAATGGCCTACAGAGTCCATATCACTCAAAAAATTGTCCTTCCTACATCCCTATTGGGGAGTACCAAAGAAGTTAGCCAGATGTTATCAGATGTGGGCCAAGCTTTAAAATGTTACATCAAGGTGACATCTGGCATCAGGAAATTGGAGCACTTGTTTGTCATTCCAGGTGGAGTGTGCAATGATTTCACTGCTTCCAACAAGATTATTGCCTCTTGGTTGGTGAAACTCATCTCCTTGGCCTACAAGTTGAAAGGGTTGACAGTGCCAGAGGGATCACATCACTGTCTACCCGAAAGGTATCGACTGAGTGACACTATCTGAAAGGAAGCTACGTGAGGGTTAATATATACATTCATGGCTCATTACTGTATAGAAACAGTCTTAACTTACAGTTGTGTTTGGCAGAGGAATCCTGGCATCTACTTTTTAGCCAGAATTGAGGATTGTGTAGCATTATCCCTCCGCTGTGTGGTTATTTAGTTCCCAGCTGTGCTGACATGGAGCTGTCAGGAAAATATTTTCTGACCTCAATTATGATACAGTATATCAACAGACTCACTGTCTGACTTTAGAACCGGGCTAATCTATACACAACGTTAGAGCTATTATCAATTCATTCTCCATGGCATTAATGTACAGAGATATGTGACAACTTTGGAACAGCTTTGTGTTTCCTCCACACCACCAAAATGTAACAGTTATGGCATTTATATGAATAGAATGAAAGAAAAGGGATATTGCATTAGGGAACCCTTTAAACAAAGTGATAACAAATATATTTGAAATATAATTATATGAAATAAAGATATAAAATGGAGAACATAATACAGAGAAAAGAAGAAAAGTAAAAGTAAATAATAGAAATAGAAGACAAAGAAAAAGAAAGAAAAAAAGAAAATAGAGTTCTGAGCCTGAAGCCTCAAGTCTCTCCACAACACTACCCAAGCATCATATCTTGCCAAAGTTAGTCTTGACAATCAGGGCACACAAAGTTCTTGAGTATAGGAAATGCATTCCCATATTGTCAGCAATGTTCCAAAGTATTTAGGTATCTAGAGCTAGGCCATCTAAGTACAATTCAGAAAATTTCGGAAAATTTTAGAAAATCTTGTGCTTTTTGAGAGTCTTTAACTGCCTCCAGCCCACTAAATAAAAAATGACAGATGGGTGGGAGCTCTCTTGTTCTGGGAGGACATCATATGATGTCCTGCCACTCTAGCTGTTCACGCGCACCCCCGGGGCGCGTAGCATGGCGATCGGTGGTGAGCTGTGTCCCTAGGACACAGTGGATCACCAATCGCAGTAAAGAGCAGATGATGTAAGCTCTACCATGTGATCAGCTGTATCCAAACACAGCTCATCACATTTAAACAGGAAATGCTGACAGCACGTGAGGAGAGGAGAGCCAGTAAGCTGCATTCCTCAGAGGGGACATCTACACTGATAATCAAGGCACTGATCATCAGAGCCCCGATGATCAGTGCAGCCCCATCAGTGCTACCTTTCAGTACCCATCATTTCAGCAGATCAGTGCCCTTCAATGCCACATATCAGTGCCAATCAATGCCACATATCAGTGTCCATCAGTGCCCATCAGTGCTGCCTTTCTTTGTCCATCAGTGATGCCAATCACTGCCCATCAGTGGCCAGCTATCAGTGCCTCCTCATCAGTGCAGTTTATCAGTACCCATCAGTGCCACCTATCAGTGGCCATCACTGCTGCTTATCAGTACCAATCAGTGCTGCCTATTAGTGCCCATCAGTGCCACATATACATTCCCATCAGTGCTGCCTTTCAGTGCCCAGCAGTGATGCCTGTCAATGCCCAGCAGTGCTGCCTAGCAGTGCCTCCTCATTAGTACAGTATATCAGTACCCATCAGTCTCATCTATCAGTGCCAATCAGTGTCAGTCAGTGCTGCCTATCAATGTCAATCAGTGCCACCTATCAGTGTCAATCAGTGCCACCTATCAGGGCCATTCAGTGCTGTCTATCAGTGCCAGTCAGTACTGCCTATCAGTGCCACATATCAGTACTATCAGTGCCCGTCAGTGCTGCCTTTCAGTGCCCATCAATGATGCCTATCAGTACCCATCAGTGCCGCCTATCAGTGCCATCTATCAGTACTGTATATCAGTTCTACCTATCAGTGCCCACCAGTACCGCCTATCAGTGCAGCCTCATCAGCACACATCAGTGATGGAGAAAAATTACTTATTTACAACATTCTGTAACAGAAACTAAGAAAAACTTTTTTTTTTTAATTTTTTTTGGCTTTTTTGGTTTGTTAAGAAAAAAATTAAAAAAACCAGTGATGATTAACTACCAGCAAAAGAAAGCACTATCTGTCTAAAAAAAAATATAAAAATGTGATTTAGGTACAGTGCTGCATGACCGCACAATCATCATTCAAAGTGCGACACCACTGAAAACTGAAAATAGGCCTGGGCAGGAAGGGCGTGAAAGTGCCCAGTAGGTGTTAAAGAGTCACCAGGCCAAGGATGTCTGCAATTTGTTTTCTTTTCATTAGCTACCAAACTCTTCATCTGTATTTTGTCATTGAGAGCCTCCAACCATTCAGGAAAAAAGGGAATATTACTAGATTTCTAGCATCTGGAAATCAGTTCATGAGCAGCAAAGATAAAGAAACATAATATAGTGCTCTTTACTTAGGACAAGGATTGTGGAAGCAGTGTAAGAAGCAGTGTAAGAATCATAGTTTCTGGAGAGTTTTCAACATATTACTGATTATTATATATACTGATATTATATATACTTTTCTATTATTTAAAGAAAGGATGGCATTCCATAAAAATGTTGATGAGTGTACATTCCCACCAAATATGGAGAATAGTACCTGGAGCAGAATGACATCTCTAACAGGTATCAGAATTAAACAGATAAATAGACCATAATTTGAGTTAGATACCTGTGACTTGTGACAATATTTTAAATTTCACTCCAGGACTTCACAGGACATAGTGAGTTTATGAGTATACATAAAAATCTTCTCCCATTCTTCATCAGTAATACAGTGACCTAACTTTGAGGCCCACATATCAGTGTAGGAAGGTAGGCTGGAAGATAGCTTGGAAATGGCTAAGGAATACACAGTAACATAGAGTTGATTTATGCATAGGAGGATTCCACCATCATTCATAATCACTTGATTTGAATAGTGGGTAATGCTACACTTTTTTTGTAGTCACAACATAGAGATGGTATGTTATGGTGGTGGGGAGGAAACACAAAGCTGTTCCAAAGTTATCACAGATCTCTACATTAGTGCCCAGGAGAATGAATTGATAATAGATCTAAAGTTGTGTATAGGTTAGCCAGAACCCTTTAGAACTGGGGTAAAGAGCCTGGTTCAAAAGGGAAACAGTGAGTCTGTTGATATACTATGTCATAACTGAGGTCAGAAAATATCCATCCAAGCTTAGAAAAGTATCAAGATGGAGGCCAATTGGAAAATTTGGATTGATTAATAAAGAAGTAAGAGGGTTTTGTTAGGATCAAAAAAGAGAAATGCCATAGAATCTGACGTTAACAATGAAGAGTAATATAGACCGAAAGAGGCCATGTATTAGGAGTGTCAGTGTCAGACAGAGAGACCCATACTGCTGCCCTGTGAAGTGTGAGGTGCCTATTTCTTATTAGACCAGGTGTTTGTTATTTTGCTTCTGATTGTACCAAATCAAAAATGTGTGAGAAGAATGTACCGGTAACTTTGTGTATCTCTAAATCAGGTAAGCCTGTGCCATTGCATTTTTTTTCTGAATAAAACTTCACAGTTAAGTGTGGGTTTAGATGATTTCTACACAAACTGGGATAAACATTTATGGAATTGTGTAAAAAAATGATTTTGACAGGATGATGGGGATGGTTTGGCATACAGTTATACATTTTGGGAGAATATCCATTTCAATTGCATTAGTATCCAAACCAAGATAATGATAGAGCAACCCATATCTTAAGATCAGCTTTTTAATAATAGAGGTAAGTAATTTAAACTCTATAAGGACTTAAGAGCTGTAGGGATTTTAATTCCCCAATATTTTACAACCACAAGTTGCCATTTACAATTTGGAGTAGTGAAATAGTAAGCATTTCAAATTTAATCAAAATTGACTTTAATAGTACTAAATTAACCAAACAGGTGAAATTCTCATAAAATAGAAGGAATACTAACTTTAGGACAAGTGATGTATATGAGAACATCATCTGCATAGAGGGCCAATTTATATTCTTTGCCTATGGATGAAGGGATTGAACGAAATGTTATGGATAGCTAATGCTAAATGCTCCATGGTAATTACATAGAGAAGGGGTGATAGTGGACAACCCAGCCTTGTATAATTATAAATTTGAAAAGGAACCAACAAAGATCCATTACTTCTAATCTGTGCTCTCAGAGAGTAGAGAAGGAACCACCAACTGAGTCTAGCAAATGCCTTCTTGGCATCAACCGATAGAAGGCAAGATGACAGTCCCCAAAAAACAGGACCTATTTTTAACACTTATTTTGCAATTTATTATAGATCTTACCTTATCTCATAGAATCTTTCTCAGGAATCCTTCAAGGAGAAAACTCCAGCCAATTCTTAGGAATCTATATTTACTGTATAATAAAATACTTGAGAACCTACAGATTAATTGTTCCACGGGCAGTTTCTTATCCAAGGGCACAAAGAGGGGTAATTTGTCAAAACTAGAGCAGTTAGAACCTGCAGCAGCTGTGCATGGCAATCAACACCTTCTGGTTTTCATTTTCAATAGTCAACTGAACAGTGTATGGT